TCCTCCTGAGCCCAAGGCCATTTCCTTCCTTGTCCAGTCTTTCTTCTGTAATGAACATGCCTGGCTAGCAGCGAGTTTTCAGTACTCTGAAAAATAATGGTGCTACCAGCTTGTTGCAGATGGTCATAAACCTGTGTGTGATACAAAGGTGTAGAAAAATAACAGAAAGGGTCTTACAGTGGATATTTCAAGGGCAAAGTGCCCAAATGGAGATGGGACTTTTGGGAGGCTGCTGCAAAGGAAAAGCTGTGCTTTGCTGAAGTGCAGAGCAGCTTTCAGGCTCACTTTGCATGCAGCAACTAGCCAGCCTGAAGAAGCGTTGCTGCCAGGGAAAGATCAGAGCAGAGTCTAAAAGGATATTTTCTCCCCATCTGGCAACTCCTGAACTGGGGGGCTGGAGCAGAAGCTGGCAGCAGGAGTGCTCTCCTATCAATTTTTAAAACTTAGAGCTCCCATATCCAGCAGGGAGGCAAATATCACTCCAGTCTCCTAGCCCTTGCGTTGGGCAACTGCACTCCTGGTGTTTCACAACACTGAGGGTTGAAATAAAGGCTGGACCAACATCCTTTGTCCTGGATATAAACTGAGCTTGCCTCGAAAGTACCATGCAGCCTCTTGCCGGCTTTCCTCCACGACAGTGCAAAACCAACTGCTAGCACCCTGGGGAAGCTTGTCCGCAAAGGGAAGGGGCACATCTGAGACTTCAGGAGAGCCTGAGTTGGGATCTGGCTCTCCTGGTTAGCTCCAGCTCTACCTGAAAGCTCTCAGGCAGCCGGTTCCATGGAGCTCCAGGACAGCTCCGCTCCCTTGGTGGTAAAAAGGACTCTGAGTGCTGTGCCTGGGAATGGAGTAGTGGCTATGGGCAAGGTTGTGCTGGCCTGGGGTGGCGGTTTGTGGCTCTTCACCACACACATATGGCCAGCACCAAGCCTGAGAGCAGCATGTGCCCCTGCCCGACGCTGCTGTGATAAGTCTATCCCGAGAAGCACCAGGGAAGCAACACCGAGGCCACGAGCACCGCGACAGGCAAAGGTTTGCCAGGGCTGCTAACCTGGTGTGCTGCGAATCAGCTACTGCATTTGCTTTTATTGTTGATGGCTGGGATGGGAAATGCAATTGAGACGCCTTAATGAAAAGCTAACAAAGTTGGTTTTGGAGGGAGGGCTGGCGTTCTGGTAGCCTTACTTCTCATTAGAGAATAATATGAATGATTTGTCCAGAAATATTCCTACCGCTGCACCTGTAGCAGTGTGCTGACCGTGGGCCGAGACCCTATGCAAATGCAGAGTAAGAGGGTCTCTGGGGACCAAACTGTTTATTTTGGATTGTAGAAATAAGGAAATGCTGCTAATTTTATAGCAGTTGCTTCTCAGAGATATTTTGAGTGTCAGGCTCTGATTGTGTGTGTGTGTAACCAGCATGTTTTGGCTGAGCATTTTCTAGCCCTCCATAATTCCTGAATTTGGTGTTAATAATACTCATTGTGAATTGGTTCAAGTAGGAAAGCTGGTGAGGCTATGTGGATCTTACTTGATAAGCTCACCACAAAATGCTGGACAAAGTCCAACATAGAGTTGGGGTATGCTACTGTCGCCCAAAGAAAGGTCCTGGTATATTGCCAAAGCTGGTGGGTTTTTCTTCCAATGCTTCAGTCTTTCCCCACCCATCTGAACTCTCCAGAAAAGTTCCATGTTTTTTATCTCCTGCCATCTGAGGGAAAAATGTTGTTTGTACATGGAGAGCTGGATGGGAAAGCCGGAAAGATGGATTGCTCGGATACAAGCCTCTAGGCCTTTTTTACCTCCTGTTTAACGTAATATGGGACTTGATTTAAAACAAACAAACAAACAAAACAAACCAATGACAAGAAAACAATAAACCAAAACTAACTTATATTAGAACGTTTGAAAGGCAAGAACATGGCAAATGAAGTTCAAGCGACTTATTAATCTGATTTAGTGAGTGTCTTTTTTCTGGCTGAGACTTCCAGTGCTCAAATCCTTTTTAAGACTGTAGAGTTGGTCCAAAGTGTGATGGGACTCTCCTATTCTTTATGACCTAAATCAGTGACCCAAAGCATAATATTTTCTCTAGAACCATCTGTTTCCTCTTCTTGCCAAGGGGATTTCACAATGCCTGGTTGCTCCGAATAATCGTACATGTTCAAGAATATGACTTGCCACAGGGAAAAAATTAACTGACCAAGGACAGGTGGACGCTCTTGAGTTTTCTGTTGAAACTACTACCTTTTAAAAGAGAGGGTGAAGAACCATGCAGCTGAGTAATATTTTATGCCCACACTAAATTTTTTTAAAGCCTACATATTTTTAAAAAAACCCCAAACTACACTTAGGAGGTATCTGGAATAAACAGAGTAGATATCAAGTCAGCCTGTGTTTTGACAGCCCCTTTATCAAATGTCTCCGAGACTAGGTTTGGAGCAGTGTGAAACACAGGAGTACGGATGTTGGGTGACTAATTCAGGCTTCAGCTAAACTTCAGTGGCCATGAACGCACATCTGTTTCAACTTAGCTATCCGCCAAATGGCCTGCAACAAGGTACTCTTCTTTACAAACATCATGTTTTCAATTTTTTACTTCAGATTTGTGAGCGGTGGCTACAGCCTGCATTCTGGGAAGCAGAAGGTACCCAAGGACTGTGATCAGGGCAGCAATGTTCAGGGCTTCTGACTCCAGCAGTAAGAGCTTTTTGTGGTGTTAGCAGGATTTCCAAGATAAACTACTCCTTTCTTTTAAATCTATCTTTATACAGGAGACTTGTTTTTTCTTGTTCATCTTATCTGTTCTCATCACCCAGCTCTCTGACTTGCTCACTTCCTGCTGTGTGTCTTTTTCTTTTCTTAATTAGGAAATTGGGAGGAGGGAGAGGAGGCAGACCAACAGTTCCCGGTGAGGAAATACCATTTATGTAAAATTGTCTTCATAAATTCTCACTATTATTCTTCCAGCCCAAGAATCCTACTACAGCATCCTTTAAATAAAAGCGAATGGAGGAGAGGGCTTTGATCCATCATTACAATGCGTCTTTGCGGAGTAGACCCCATAACGTGGGTGCAGGATGGTACCCGTTGCTACCTCCAGCCAGTTCTTCACTTGCACACAGCCCTGTCCCTGCGTAATATGCCCCTGCCCTAATGAGGAGGGGTGATTTCTGCATCATGGGGGGTAAAGAGATGGGTGGTGGTGACCAGGTGCTTTTGTTCAAGGAGGCGTTGGTGTGTCCCTCGTTAGGAGGGTAAATGCTTCTCCCCAGGAGCACCTGCCTGGCTGTACTCTGCAGTCAGCCGTGCAACATGTGTAGCCTGCTGTGTGGTGGAGAGCCAGCCTCGTGCCCAGCTGGGCTGTGAGATAAGCCCTCCTTTAGGAGGAAGAGGGAAGGTGTGCTTAGCCATCCTCTTTGGGTCGCGCTTGCTATGAGGGGGCCCAGGTGACAGCTGGGATGCTGTCACTGGATACAGCCTTTAGCGTGGATGGGTTGGTCTGTGTCTGTCAGCACATGCAGCTGTCAGACCTGGTGGTGTGTTTGCTGGAGACCAGGCAGATGGCAAATGGTAGAGTGAGACCTGCCAGCTGTTGTGGAGGCTGGACTTCGGGAGGGTTGACTGGATCTCCTGCTTGTGTCCCATCTCTGATATGGGCCTGTGAATGCCATCCTTCTCTTAGAAGTTGAAACCTTCCATGGCTGGGCTCTTTTCTTTTTTCCTCTTTCTGGGATGTGTTTTTTTCACAAGCAAAACCAGTTCAGCCTTTTGTATTCTCCAGCAAAGTAAAGGTATTGACGTACTCATTTTCTGCTCTTCATAGAAATGTTTTTAAGTACTGTGTGATTAAAATAACTTGGAATGGAGAAGCGTATTATGGCAAAGGTTGTCCTTGAGGAGAAAATATAGCTTTAATAACTAGGAATCTGGCTTTTATTGGCTAGTAAAATTGAGAATCTAACACTGAGCATGCTCAGGTTTTTGCACTAAGCATCTCTATGTACTTAAAGGCATCTGTTCTGTCGGTTTATGCACTGTTAACTAACTGCAAACCTCTTTAACAGCTCCTCCACACTGCTGGAAAATCCTGAGGCAGGATGAGGGCAAGTACTGCTGTCATGCCTGATGACTGATGTTGTAAATGGAGTGAGAAAGGCCCTTGAAGGGGAAGCCGTCAAAGCTGACCTAGTGGGAAAAGAGCTCAGGGACAGGTTTCCTCTCGAAGCATGCCAAGAGAGCCAGGCTTGGATGCATATGGGGCTCTTTCCAGTTTTGGGAAGGTGCAAAGTGATGCGCTGTGGAAGGAATGGCTCCAAAATCATTAATTAAAGACTGCCCTTCTGGTGCACCTTATGACCAAGTTACTGTTAAGAATAAGGTTTTGCCAGGGCTTGAGCTCGCTTCGTGCAGATTTCTGGTGTGGAGTAGATGGTTGGGAGGACTGTGAGCAAGAAAAGGCTGTGAATACGTAGTTTACAGTGAATAAAAATGGCAAGTATCAAAATATTTTTTAAAAAGTATGGGAGAATAGTGGATTTCCCTGTCCTCTCCTGCTCTTACCCTGAACTCCAGTGAGTAAGCACACTGTAATTTTAAATGGGAAACACTTCTGCCAGCTGTGAAGCAGAATGATGGGCTTTGATTAAATGAGGAACAAGAAAATGCAATTGAACAAATAGTCTTTCAGTGAAGAGAAAGAAAGTGATATTAAACATCATAGTATCTAAAGGGGGTAGGTGCTAGCCCACTGGTAGCATCCTTGTTCAGATAGCTGAACGAGATGATTTGTACATGGAAAACTGCAGTAATCATAACACAAATGGCTCAATAGATGGGTCTTCTTGAGTAACAGGGTAACTTAATTACATGTTTGGGAAAGACGGGAAATAAACAGGATGGAGAGGAAAATCTGTTATCTCTGGTCAGCCTCACTTAATGCTTCTTTCCTTTTGTCTCTGCAGGTTGAGGACGTCTGGGACCTGTTTGGTGGAAGCAGCCATGTCGCGAGCAACTCACCCACCCACCTTCCCAGTGAGCTTCCAACTCCTAAGCGTTGTGCTGGTGTTGCTCTTCCATGCAGACAGCATACATGCAGAGAGCCCCAGTGAATTGCCTGTGAATGACACCGAGGAGTGCACTGGCTCATACATCTGCAAAAAGGGTGTGATTTTACCAATATGGGAACCCCAAGATCCCTCATTTGGTGACAAAATCGCTCGGGCAACAGTGTATTTTGTAGCAATGGTGTACATGTTCCTGGGAGTATCTATCATAGCTGACCGCTTCATGTCCTCCATCGAAGTCATTACATCCCAAGAGCGGGAAATAACCATCAAGAAGCCCAATGGCGAGACCAGCAAAACCACAGTGAGGATCTGGAACGAGACTGTTTCCAACCTCACACTGATGGCCTTGGGCTCATCTGCCCCTGAGATCCTTCTGTCTGTTATTGAAGTGTGTGGCCATGGCTTCACGGCAGGGGACTTGGGGCCAAGCACAATCGTGGGGAGTGCTGCATTTAATATGTTTGTCATCATTGCGATCTGTGTTTACGTTGTTCCAGATGGAGAGATACGGAAGATCAAGCACTTGAGAGTGTTTTTTGTTACAGCGGCCTGGAGCATCTTTGCCTACACTTGGCTTTATATTATTTTGTCCGTGTCTTCTCCTGGGATTGTGGAGGTTTGGGAAGGCTTGCTCACCTTCTTCTTCTTCCCCATCTGTGTTGTGTTTGCCTGGATAGCTGACAGGAGGCTTTTATTTTACAAGTACGTCTACAAGAAGTACCGAGCTGGCAAGCAGAGAGGCATGATCATTGAGCATGAGGGTGACCGGCCCTCATCCAAAGCTGATATCGAGATGGATGGAAAAGTTGCTAATTCTCACGTCGAGAACTTTTTGGATGGGACACTGGTGTTGGAGGTGGATGAGAAAGACCAGGATGATGAGGAAGCCAGGAGGGAAATGGCCCGGATCTTGAAGGAGCTTAAACAAAAGCACCCTGACAAGGAAATTGAACAGCTTATAGAGTTGGCCAACTACCAGGTCCTGAGCCAGCAGCAGAAGAGCAGGGCCTTTTACCGCATTCAGGCCACTCGGCTCATGACAGGAGCTGGCAATATCTTAAAGAGACATGCTGCAGACCAGGCCCGCAAAGCTGTCAGCATGCACGAGGTCAACAGTGAGGTGGCTGAGAATGATCCCATCAGCAAGCTCTACTTTGAGCAGGGTACCTACCAATGTCTGGAGAACTGTGGCACTGTTGCCTTGACCATCATTCGCCGGGGAGGCGACTTGACCAACACGGTGTACGTTGACTTCCGGACAGAGGATGGGACAGCCAATGCCGGCTCTGACTATGAGTTCACTGAAGGGACAGTGGTCTTCAAGCCTGGAGAGACCCAGAAGGAAATCCGTGTTGGCATAATCGACGATGACATATTTGAGGAGGATGAGAACTTCCTGGTTCATCTCAGCAACGTCCGCGTGAGCACTGAGGCCTCAGATGAGGGCATTCTTGACGCCAGTTGTGTCTCAACTCTTGCCTGCCTGGGATCACCATCTACTGCCACCGTCACCATCTTTGATGATGACCACGCTGGCATCTTCACCTTTGAGGAGCCAGTAACACATGTCAGTGAAAGTGTGGGGACCATGGAAGTGAAAGTGTTGCGAACCTCTGGTGCACGAGGAAATGTTATTGTGCCCTACAAAACCATTGAAGGCTCAGCAAAAGGTGGAGGAGAGGACTTTGAAGACACCTGTGGGGAGCTGGAGTTCCAGAACGATGAGATAGTGTAAGTGAAGGTTTTATTTGTTACTTACAGTCTCTGATTCTCCTGAAATTAAACGCACATGGCTCCCAGAGCTGCACTGGAGGGGTTTGGGTGGCAACATGTTGCAGTAAGCCATGAATGGCCTTATGTGCTTTGAGGAGCCTGAAGTGCTGTGTTCCTGCCTTGCTAACAGACCGGAGAGTGATGCCTGCTCAGGGGCACTCCACCCTCCCAGCAGCAGGGAGGTAGCACTGATTTGTGAGCCCAGCCTCCCACACTCTATCCATCCACTGAGCAGATTTTCATAACCTCGGCTCTACAGTGGAGCGGAGAACAAACCCAAGCTGGCTGTTACCCCTGGTCACAAGGACCTGTCTTGTGAAGGGCCTAAATTGAGCGTATGAATTTTGGTACCTACTTCCCCTTGCCTGTCGAGGGTCACATCATCTGGGACTGGGCCACAGCCTGTTCCACTGATGCCCTATTCAGGGCTTTGGTGAAGGTCACTTCACCTCCTCCTCTTCTAAAGGCTGCAGGCCTGGGTCTTTGTCCAATGCATGTCATGAAAAGGTATTGTCATGCAGAGAAGCCTCATGATTAGGATGCAACTGCAACTACATTTGGCTGCTTGCAAATAAAAAAGAGGGTGTAAGCTGTTGGAGGCTACTCCTGAGTGTTGCGAGGTAGATGGTGGAAAATATTTTAGTGCTGTAGTCCTTGTTTATTACATTATGTGGAAATATAAATTAGGCCAGTAAATCATGGTAGAAAACATCTATCCTTGGGTGTTTCATAAAGACTTTCGTTTGCCCAGTTGGGGCTCTGGGAGGAACAAGGGTTGGGAGTTGCGTTGTTCCAGCCTCAGGCTCTTCCCGCAGTCCACGTCTATGTCTGTAGATCAGTTCCTGCCAACAGTAGACTCTGTAGCACAAAAGCACTGTGTAGAACTTTGAGCAGTCACTGATAAAGGGCGCTGCTGTGTCAAGGGAGAGCTAAATGTTGGCTTGGGTGTTGCATGTCATACAACCAATCTCTTAGGAGCTGAGACAGATCCATGATGAGTGCCAAGGGTGGGCCTTGTGTTCTATTACTTGTATCTGCTCCGTGCGCACAGGGAGAATGAAGCAAATGGGGGAACTGTAAAACTTCTTGGAGTAGGGGGAAAGAAAAGAGTGATTTGTTGTTCTTAGGCAGGGTATTAGACCAGTTGGGGTTTGGACTTCTCAGGAAAAACTGAGCAAGAACTTCACAGCTCCTGCAATCTGGAGGCCAGACCATGCATGTTGCTCATGCAAGGGTGGAGAGCACACGACATGCCATTGTTCCTGGCTCCTCAATGATAACTGTAGTAGAGAGGAATGCAATTATTTGATTTTTTTTTTTTAGATTTTGGAAGAAGCAGGGAGTTGTCTGCAGAGATGCAATGAACTGGGCTATAAGGATATCCCCTGAAGGCTCTTTACTTTTTAACCGGGTCACTCAGCACTAGCAAAAACAGGCCACTGGTAGGAAGACATTGACGTTTGATCCCAGTTCCCCTGGGACGTGACATGTTTACATGGCAGGCCGAACACTGCGCTCACAGGGGCTTGGGCTTCCCCCTTGTCTTGGATCCATCACTCTGGCCAGGATCTCTGTGCTGTCCTTCATCAAAGACAGGTAGCGTCACCTGTGTCTGCGCTGCCTGTTGGTGCTCAGTCTGCGATGTGGGGTCTTGCGGAGGGACAGCAGTGCCTTCTCCTGAGCATTGCTGTGCCTGCTGCCCCTGCTCGTGGGCTTTCCTCCCCCGAGCTGTTCACTACTGACTTTTGCCAACAGCTCAGTAACTGAGGGGTGTGCTGGAAACGGGCTGACCCACATCCTGTCGGAGCTGCTGCCGGGGTGTGCTGATGTGCCCTCCCCACGGCTGCAAGCCTTCCCCTTCCCTTTCTTACTGGCTGTCAGCATGTGCACAGCAACCCAGAAATGGACAGAAAACAGCTTTCTTAGAAACCCAAGTGTGTTTTTTCTGTGCAGATGCCAGGGCATTGCCATCATATCTCTATTGCCTTTAAGCTCTCTCTCCTTGGAATCACAGGGAGGGACGGTACATGGGAAGCACCACTTTAGGAGGTTGCAGCCTGGTACAAGTGAGGGCTTGGGGAATGGAGTGGGAGGAGGTGGTGACTGCAGGGCCACGTGTTGGCCAAGGGGCTTGCTCCACTCAGGTGGGAGAGGACATGCACATACCTTATTTTTCTGGGAGAAGAATGAAACTGATTGTACAAATTGCAATCTGAAAGGCAGTAGGTATTCGTCTAAAACTTAGCTGCTACAGTCCATATTCAGGTGTTGGATGGTACAATCTGACTTGCAGAAGATATCTTGCAGGTCTGTGTTTGCCTGGGCACAAGTTTAAGACAGCCCTGCAGCACAAAGGCGGTGTGGTCCTGAAGCTGAGGTGCTGCTTACAGGCATCCTCCCTTGGCATAATTTCGCTCTAACGGGAATAAAGATGTGCTAGCACGATATGTGGATCATAGAGCTAAAGCCTATTTGCCATGTCATTGCTTGCTACTGCTGTGCTTCAGCTAAATCACAGCTATGTAAAACGGTGCATTTCCCCAGCACATTTGATTCAATAAAGTTCTAAAACTTCAGATTTTCCCATGCTCTGGTGGACGAGAGGCGGCTTTACTGCCCTTTCTAAATGTCTTTAGTGCCTCTTCAGCTCTGCCATTCTAGGCTGTATCAATCAGCTTGATGAAATCGAGTAAGATGTGTTTTTTCTGGGGCACTAACAACAAAGGTAAGGCAGTGCAGGAGAACACGAGGATGAAAGAAAACTGTGTACAAGCCTCTATTATTAGAGAGCTGGCTTGCTGGTAAGTCCTTGTAAAATTAGAAAGCACTGAGAGGGCCCTGATCTTCTGGAGACCTTCCTCGGGTTCCCAAAAGGCTCAGTTACGTAACATGTTGTTTGTTTGCAGCGCCCCGAGAGACTTTCCCGTTTTGCAATCTGTTGATGTCCCCTTTCCCAGAGCACATAAAATAGCTGTTAACTGTTGAAGCTGTGCCACTCCTGTGCATTTAAACAAAGATCTCATTCTGACGCTACCAAAAAAGGTGTATAATGGAGAAGATGTTGGTCCTCCTGTGGAACATTTTATCCCAGCCCTGCCTGGTAGCCTTCAGGAGTGATGCTTTTCTGCTCCTTGCTCCTGAAGCATAGCTTGTGTGTTCAATGGGTGCACATTAGCAAGTGAAAGAAAAAGCATTTAAATGTGTTTTTCAAGGGGGTAGCTGAGTTTGCACGGCAGATTGTTCCAAGCTGTGTGGGAAAGCTGAAGATATCTGAGTTGGGTCTCAGCAAGATCAGTCTCAGTGACGTTGCACGAGTACCTGGGGCTCTGAGGCATCGATGTAGGACAGGGTGCTATAATTTAAAGTGTAAGAGAGAGCCTTCCCTTTGGGGCCATCATCAAAAAGGTATCTCCAGCCTTGTCTTGCATCTCAATTAACGATGAAAGCTTTCTTTATGAGAACATGGAGAAGATGTGTAGTTGCAGGCTCTTCCTGCCCACTTGTCTACCACAGCTATTGTGATCACAGAAGAGTCACTGGTTCATCCAGCCAGTGTATTTTTATCTCCTGATCAAATGCCAAGTAGTTCAAAAGCAGTCCAGCTTCCTATCTTAGAGGAGGAAGCAGTCCTTCCCCTAGCTGATGGGATCTCTTCTCCTTGCTGTCTGGAAACATCAGGAGGGGCACTTCTTGTAGATGTAACTGCAAAGCAGTATGTAAACTGTATGTTCTTTCATGTTCAAAAGTAGTAGTTTTTCTAGAGATAATATTGCAACTAGAGATCTATTACAATCTGCATTCCAGATCTCTGCACTTATACCCCGCAAAAGAAAAGTTTTAACTGCATTAATAAGTCAGTGAGGAAGATGGTACACACAATTATATGGATAACTGATTAAACTGGTATTTCACCTATGCAGTTACACCTGTAAATGCATGGAGAATCTTATGTCAATAGATCTTGCTGTTCCTAGTGCATAGTTTAGCTGTTTTTATAAAAGGTGTCTGCTGCAGGTTTAGGAAGTGACACTCTTGACTCATTGCATTTGACTTGTCCAAGCCAGCTTTGGCATTTCTCTGGAAGCATAAATCTGGGAGTCAAATGCTAACAGTGACACAAACATCAGCTAAATCTTCTGATTTTTTTTAGAGAAAGCGTCCCCAGAGAACACAGAACCTCCCTCCCAAGAGCCCTTTGAAGATGTCAATGTCAATAAATATAGATTGTGGCAGGGGGGGAACCAAGTGGTACTGCTTTTTTAAGTTCCCCTTTTATTTTCCAAAAGAAGCTGGGTGAGTTATTTCTAAAGAAACAGCAAAAATAAAATCCTGACTCAACTCTGGGACTTCTCTAGCTCATTTTTGCATCCGTGGCCTCCAGCTTCAGAGGAAAAAAAATGAAACCTCCAGTATTGCAGTAGGACACAGCCAAAGAGCAGAGAGCAGATGTGGCAGAGAGCAAGCTGTAAACCAGGCTAAAGGTGAAGAAAACAAACATTCTCCATTTCACTTTTCATTGTTGAACACGTTCTCTCTCTCTGTCTGTGTCCATCGGACTTTTTTTGCATGGATCAGTGTGCACCCCCTCCCTTGCAAGCCCTGGCTTGCACAGGGTTAATGTCTGGAGGCACAGCGTGAGATATCAAAACAGATCAAACAAAGATTAAACTCTTATTCGGCCTGCTTCCAGCACGCAGCTTGGGTTTTAGAGCATGTTTTCCCCTCGCCACTGGCAGTCTTGCCTGGCCCGGTGGGAATTGCAGGCAGTTCAGATATGGTCACCAGGATCTAGGTCTTGGGTCCTTGGCAGGAGCACCCAGTGCCCTGGGTCCACCTTATGGGAGGTGGCCAGCCCTGGCCATGGCCCACAGCAGGGAGCTGCGCATGTGTGTAGCATGCACGGCCTGGGCGCCTGTTTCCATTTCCAGGGGAGTTTTGGGGAGGAGAAGTTCCTTGGGGCTGAAATGTGTCATTGCTTTGGGTCCTGAAGGCCAAAAGCTAATTGTTCCCTCTTCAGGGGGGCAGATACAGCTGTAATAGGGTGGGCTGTCTTTTCTTTTTCTCTGCTTTCTTCACATAATGTTTAGTCTTTCCTAAACACCCCTAAAGTTTTAATCTGAATATCTCCCAGCCATGTGCATCTCTCTTAAACTGCAGTGCTCTTGTCTCAGTTGTGTGGACAACTCTTACGCTTCTGTTAGGAGACAGCAAGGAAGTGAGGCCACGTGGTGTTCACAGACCTCCTCCTTTCTCCTGCACCCAAGTGCCCGCAAGCGCTTGCTGTTGTCCTGTGCACACAGACTGGGCACCGAGTGACACAGATGTGGTGCGTACCGAAAAAATCATTCCCAAGTGCCACGTCAGGTCTCAAGCCTGCAAAGCACATGCTCACAACTGTGTCTCTAAGTGTCATATGGCCTGATTTCATCCTTTCCTCCATGGAGTAAGGCCAGCGGGTGTGCTCCTGTGGCATGTCATCCTGGTGTTGTGGGACAAGTCCTGCCCGTAGCTTGCTTGGGGAGGGTGAGGATGGGACACAGTCTGCGCCATTTGCCCAAATAAGTCATGAAATCTAGGAACTTGATTTGATGATATCCCCTGTGGAGGAGATTAGACAGCGAGGTTGTGTTACTGGATGAAGCAAGTTGTGCCAGCACATCACTGAGGGGAATGGGGGGAGAAGGGTGAGGACAAGAGTGGTTAGCTCTTGCTGAAGAGCTGACATGGTTTTTGTCCTTGAAAAACTAATGTTTCCTTATTTGTAATGAGCTGTTGTTGGCAATTTACTGCTGCCAGCTGCATCTCTGTGGTTGATTAAGGGAGCTTGGATCTTAAATATGTAATAACTCTGTGAAAGCCATTGAGAGGCAGTTATTAGCTTCATCAGAGCCTGTGTACACATCTGCTGTGCTCCTTTATGAAAAGGATACCTATTAAATACATTGTAGTAATTTATGAAACACAGGGTCTAGGCTTGTTTTAAGAAATTAAAGCAGCAACCCTAGCGAAGCTTGTTGACATGGAAAAGAGTTATCTTGGAGTGAAGCACTGCTCTGCAGCTTCTTGCTGGGTAGACGAGAGTGGAGGACAGGAGAAGCCCCGTTCACCTTTGTAGACTCTCTTCTTTCCCTGGAGTGTGCTTGCAGCAGCATTAGCACCAGCTGTGATATGCGGGTCTTGTCAACAGGGCAGGGATCCATCCCTCTCCCTCCTGTGCGCATGAGGTCCTTTACTGTGGCAAAATCCTCGAGCACGAAGAGGCAAATGGTTGATATACAGGACCCCGATGCAAATGCTGAGTTCAAGTTGTGCATCTGCCTTGGGAATAGGCTTCTTTCCTCTGATGCTTTGCCCCCAGGTTTGACCTCGGTGGATGGCACTCGGCAGTTTTCTTTGAGCAGCAGGGCTGCATCTGCGGGCTTAGAACGAGAGCGACAGAACAAAAAAGCAGACAGCTGACCGCAGCCGGCATCTGTGCAGATGGGCAGAGAAACATCTGCTGTCATCCAAAGCCAAACAGAGAGGAGAAGCTGGACCTGGCAGACAACTGGCTGAGTCAGAAACAGACCCTCCCTGGGGGAGAGGCTGAGCCCAGAGGCATCACCTCACATGCTGCGGGCGGATGGAGCTCTCTGCCGGTGAGGGGATGCGACGTCACTCTCCCCTCGGCAGGCAGGCCTACCAGGGGTGATGCACAGTCGTCCATGTCTGGGTCTGCCTTATATCATAGAATCATAGAATCATAGAATGGCATAGGCTGGAAGGGACCTTAGAGATCATCTAATCCAACCTCCCTGTCATGGGCAGGGATGCCTCTCAACTAGACCAGGCTACTCAAGGCTCCATCCAACCTGGCCTTGAACATCTCCAGAGAGGGGGCATCCACAGCTTCTCCAGGCAATTCATTCCAAAGTCTTACCACCCTCGTACTAAAGAATTTCTTCCTAAGATCTAATCTAAATCTGTTCTCCTTCAACTTAAACCCATTTCCCCTTGTCCTATCAGTGGACACTCTTGTAAAAAGTCCCTCCCCAGCCCTCCTGTAGGTTCCCTTCAGGTATTGGAAGGCAGCTATTAGGTCCCCC